TTGCTGGTCACAGCCACCTTGGTCCCTGCCAAGCGCCCACGTCTCTGGAGGACGGTAAGTGTCGTCGCGCGCCCCCCAGTTTGGTCTCGGACACAACTGCCCGGGCGGGGCCGCGATCGCCTGTAGCCTGGCGCACTTTTTCCTATTCGGCGGGTGGGGAAACTGAGGCCCCGACTTGGAAGGGGGTGTTCAAGGTCACTTCAGTAAGTTGGGGACGCAGTCGGGGCTGGCACCCTCGGGCCCGGGCTCTCTTCAGAGTTATTCAGTCCGCAAGGTTCCCCTGGGTGCGGAGCGTGGAGACGGGGACAGTCATGGAGAGAGAAGGGATTGGCCCAAGGTCAGGCAGCTGGTGAGCGGCCAAACGGGGGTCGGAGGGGTCCGCTGCTCTTTTGCCGCACCCGTCCGGCAGAGGCACTGAAAGTGGGCGAGGGAGCAGGCTCGGGCTGGGCCTCCAGGCTGGCTGTGCGCGCAGCCCCGGGCTCCTCTCCCGCGCGCCCAGAGCGCGTGCGGGGCTCGCCTCCCAGCTCTGCGGACCCGAGGGGAGGATGTGGGTGGTGGGAGAGGACTTTAGTCCTTCCAGCCTCTCTGGCCGTCCCATTGTGAACCGCCTCCGGCCCAGAAGGCTCGGGGTTTGCCAAGGTCAAACACAGTCTAGTCCTTGCTGCCGCCGCTCCGCGGTCGCTCTGACCCAGGCTCCGCAGCGCCCGAACTTTGTCACTGTCTTTCCAGTCAGGAGGGCGAGATGGTTGCAAGGGCGCCGCCTGCCTCCCGTGGTCTCTTCCTGGGCCTGCCAGGAGCGGGGATTGGACCCGGAGGTCTTTGCCCTGCGGGACTTTCAGAGCTTCCCCTTGTGCCCTCGCCCGACACACGGGGGGGATGGGGTGGGATGGGGTGGGGTGGTGGTGGAAGGTTTTGGCAAGCCCTGAGGAGGATTTTGTTTTTGTTCTAGCTGCAGTTTACCAGGAGGGTGGTGTGAACCAAATAGGGTGGGGGAGCTCAGCTAAGGAAAGGAGACAGTGGTGGGAGCAAATGGGGAAGAGACAAGGGATCAGAGGGGAAGCTGGTCAGCGGGTGAACAGGGGAGAACAGTTGAGAGGTGGCGGTGGGGAGTCAGACCACCTGGCCAGGGACCAGCACACAAGGACCTAGGGAGGTGTTCCCAGACCGTGATGCCAGGAGCAGCATGCAATCAGAGGGGGCTTTGGGATGCACAGCCTTTGGGACAGGGAGAGACACATCCCCGGACTTGAGATTTAGGGACAGAGAGACCAACATGTGTCCAAACCCATGGGCAGGGGACGGGAGGGAAGAAGGAGGGAGTACATGGAGCAGAACTGTTGGAGAGGAGTCGGTAGGTGGAGAAAGAGAGGAAGAGAAGTAGAGGTGAAGGGTGGAGACAAAGAGGCATGGATAAGGTGGAGAAAAGGGGAACCTGCTCCCTCAGTTTCTCTCATGGGTGTGGGTGGATGGTTCACTGGTTCCCTCTCCACCACCCTGGTCCATTTCCTTTACGTCTCCTGTCTCATCCTCTCAAGGGCAGTCAACTATAGCTTTTCAAAGCTCCTGGAATCGCCCATGTCAGGGCAGCTGGGACTCAGTGCCCTGGGGAGGGGAGGGAACCAGGGTTCTCCAGCAGGCCTCCTCCATTCCTCCTGTGGGCAGCTCGTGGGCCCTGCCTGGTCATTCTCAGGAGGCCCTCCTGCATCTCCTACCCCTGGCCCCCCCATCTGTGCTTAGCCTGGGCCTTCTGCTGCCCCTCACAGCCAGACCTGCATCCCCAAGACAATCTCCAGACTGGCCAGATACCAGGGCGGCTTGGGAGTGGGGAGGAGCAGAGCTCCGTCCCCTGGCAGGCCCAGGGATCCCAGCCATGCAACCTGCTCCCAGTGTACACCAGGGCGTCAGCTGGTGCAATAAAAGTCTGTATTATTGTCTTTTCCTTTTTAAAGAAAGAATTTTCCCACATAGCCTCTAGTCATTCCTTTTAGACAATTAAAGATTAAAAGAGAGAGAAGGGAGAGCCTGTGAAGGTGTCTCTAGACACAGAGAGCTCTGTTCCACCCTCTGGGATAACAGGAGCCCCTGTTATCTGTTACTCTGGGGTGGGGGAGGAAGCCCATGCAGGGAGCAGGGATTCTCAGGGAGAAGACATTGGGGTTTCCCTGCTACTAGCTGTGACTATCTGGGCAATAACCCTTCCTCGCTGAACCTCAGGCTCCCCGTCTACATAGAGGGCAGAATGGCCCCCACCCCCACCCCGTGAGGTTATAGTGAAGGCGAAAAGTTCCTATTGGAACATCACATGTTGGAAATCTCCTGCCACTTCTAAATCATTTGGCCTTTTTAGAATGTCCCTATTCAAGTCCATGTGTTTATACAGGTGGTAATGATATTGACAAACACACGGGGATCAATGCAGGGGAACATACAGGGGGAATGGTGGCTAGGTGAGCCCATTCCAGTTAGACTTCTGGGAGCCTGTGAAATGCGTCCTTAATGAGCTCTGCAATGTAGTTTTGAGAGGAGTGAAGAAGGTGGCACACCCATTTACCAAGTGCTGGCGTTTGTGCTGCGCCTCACTGCTTAACCACCTGCCTCCCATTCAGACCCCTGCCACTCTGCAGTGCTGTCACTTGCTGACAATGCTGCGTCCTCAGTACTGAATTTTGGGCAGTTAGCGGCCATGCCGGCATGGGGTGGATGCCTGAAATAGGCTGAAAGATGGACCGAATGAATGAGTGCAGGAGGTTGACCTCACTGCATACATAGCAGGATGCTGCTGCAGGATCTGAGGTCCCCAAGGTGGTCTCCTGGTGCAGAGCCCAATGAGGGCCCAGGACTCTAGGAAGCAGAGGAGAGAACTCTGAAAGCAAGGTGCATGCCTGTTAGCCCAGTTGGAATTGAGTAGCCAATGCTCAGCGTTTTCCCCAAAGAAAGCGTTTGATGCTGAAATCCCTGAGCAGAGAGGTCTTTAGGGGAAACAGTCTTGTTCCTACTTGGGGCAGCACTGAGGAGGCATCCATAAATATGTGCTAAACGTTGACCAGAACTGCATTCCTCACCCCTCCCAGCCCCTTGCTTTCAGGCTAACTCGTTGGCTAGCTTCAATGAAATACAGTCCATTTTTATTTAACTGAGCAACTGTCAGAACTGAGAGCATCCTGTTTAAAGCATCCCTGGCTTGCTCAGAGTCAGTATGAGAGAAGGCCTGCCAGGGAGGGTTGGAGATCTTGGGGATGAGGTGGGGCAGGGTGGGGGGGTGGTGAGTGCTGAGGGATAAGGAGGTTGGAAAGATGGGAGAAAGGGAGATATCAGCAGTTCGGGCAGGGCACCTTGGCCACTCACAGACTTAGACCTCAGGGGAAGCAGCTTGGAGAAGAGGTGTGGAGCTCTCTGATGTTGGCATGCTGAGGAACATGGGATTGGTAAGGCAGAGTTGGTGGGGAAGTAAAGGCAGGAGAAGGCCATTACCTGGAGGTCCTGTGGAGGACAGGGAGAAGGGTGCTGGGTAGGGTCTCCACCCCACCCACAGAGGTTTCCTTCCCACCCCGTTCCCTGGATGTACCTGGGGGGAAAAAGGGTGCAGCCACGTGCCGAAGGCAGACCTGGCCTCCACCAGCCCTGCGCTTCCTTCCTTCCTCTGCACAGACTTGAAAAACCCTCTTTTTGACCACTGTGAATCGGAATTCGTGTATTTTTATTTTATTGCAGGATGCAGAATATGCTTTCAGTTTGGTTGCTTATCTATGTAAATGAAATATATTGCGGTTTCTACCTAGTCCTTAGCTGTAGGCAGGATAACAGAAATCACGATGATCATGGAGGAATGGGAGTGAGCCGAAATTCCCCTGTGCAGCTCCAGTTCTGTCTGAGCTCTTGTGCAGAACTGTGGCTTGCTCGGGGGTGAAGGAGGCGAAACAACTTTACTGCAGAGCGCAGAATCGCAGAGCGCAGGCCCTGGATGACCTGGTTGTTTATAGCAAAGCCCGCAGCCTAGGTGTGCGCTGGCAATTCTGGTGGGCCAGCAGGTAGGCTGCGTCTCTTGCCTTTGCCCACAGTGCCCACTGGCCCACATGCTGTCTCCTCCCAGTTCAAGGTACCCTGCCTCCCCACCCTCGGCTCCTCCCTGGGCAGCCCCTTCCCCCACCGGCCCCTCCCCCGGCTGAGGCCCACATCTTCTGGCTGCCCCCTCCTCCCCCACTGGCCCCTCCTCCAGCCACCCCTCCCACGGGTCCCCTTCTCCTTGCTGGCCTCCAGCCTGGTCCTGTCACCATGGAGAGCTCACTTGCTTGTGCATTCACCTGCCTTGACTGAGCTACCGCCTACTCTGAGGGACAGAGTCAGGGTCAGGACTGGATCAGAGGGTGACAGGTGAGTGCTTCTGGTGTAGGGAGCCAGGCTATGTGAAGGTGGGGAACGGGCTTCCCTGCCCCCTGCCAAGGTGAGAAGTAGCACTCCACAGGTAGTCTCCTTCTCCTTGGCTGGATACTCTTCCTGAAGCCATTCTTGTGGCTGCTCTGGGCCCTGGGCCCCCCCATGCTCCTGTGCTCGCTCTCTCTGGCTGCTGCATCTGCCTCTTCAGTCTCCTTGCTCCCTTCAGCTCCAGGTGTGTGTCCAGTGCCTCCCTGTGGCCTCCAGGCTGGTGTTTAGAGAGCATCCCACAGGGGACATGCACTCCCCTGGAACCTGCTCCCTCAGTTTCTCTCTTAGGGATGGGTGGATTCCTGGTTCCCTCCCCACAATCCTAGTCCATTTCCCTTACATCTTCTATCTCATCCTCTCAAGGGCAGTCAACTCTAGCTTTAAAAAGCTTCTGGAATTGCCCATGTCAGGGCAGCTGGAATGAGGGTGAGGAGGAAATGGGTCTGATCAAGGGTGAGGGAGAATGGTCCCAAGCATTGGGCCAGGGCCTCCCACCTGCTCCACCTCCACCTCCACCGAGATGGTCCTGTGGGCCCCAGGGGCTTTTCTTTGCTTTCCCAGGATATATCCAGAAGGGATTGCAGTGTGGAAGGAACCTTAGACTCTGCATATGCTGGAGTCCAGCCCACTGG